GTTTCTCCATGTTGTTCAGGCTGATCTCGAACTCCCGACCTCAGGTGATCCACCCGCCTTAGCCTCCTAAAGTGCTGGGATTATAGGCATGAGCCACAGCGCCTGGCTGAAGAGGCCAAAGTTTTATTTTGCTTTGCACACATCCATTCACCGTACCAACCATATGTTGTTTAATTCAACCACGTATCCAGTTGCTAGTCTAGACCAAAAGTTTCCGGATGGTAGGGACCATGACTGCTTCATCTATTTTTTGAATGACCTTACAAAATGGAAGCAATTAGTTTATCTTTTGAGTCACCAGACCTCCTCTTTGTCTTTCACCAAAGTAACAGGAAACTAGAGAAACTCTCATCTGGGTACAAACCAAAGTTATCTCTTATATGAAGGGAGAAAAAAAACACAGAATGACCCATTTCTCTTACACTGAGACACAAGCAGAATCAACCACTCTTGTCAGCCTGACACAATTCTGCCCTGGACATCCTCAAATGTCTCAAAGACATCTAGGTGATTGTGAGAAGGTTCTTAGTGACCCTGGGCTGATGGCCCGATGATAAGCCAGGCTGAGAGAAATTCATGCTGATTCTAAATAGAAGATGGAACTGCCTTGGTGGAGCTCCAGAACCTGGATCACCTATCCTGATTTGCTAGGTTTTGGGTAAGAGCAACAATACTCTACACCAGTATCATATTTTACAGGTAGGTATAGTTGTGGTCATGGCTCTGGATACTTTGTGGCCACTCAAAGTATCATCTCACTAAGATGCTTGTTTACACTTACAGATTCTGTCATCAGATTCTATTTACACCTGGAGTCTCTCACATAACTGTAGCAGGTCACTGAACAAGATCTGAAAAGCTTAAAGAGCCACACTCTCAAATGGGAGCTTTAAGATTTCTACGCTGACATCTCGCAATATAGAAAATGCCTTCTGTTGGTTTTCAGTACATTCTCAATTCAAAGTCTTCTGGCCCTGTCTTGTAAATCCCAGGCAGACGCCAGACCTTATGTGCAGATTCTAGGTGGGATCAACTTGGCTCTGCATCCTTGGGTGTTACAGCAAACAGAGTAAATCAAAGGAGAGCTACCCTATAGAGGCTGCTCTGGCACATTCTAAATAATATGTCTAACTAAAAGAAAAAACTGAGGCAACATGAACATAAGTAGAGAGTTCATCTGGGTCAAGCTTGAGGACTATAACCTTGGAGCGAAAATACATCTTTCAAAGATTGAACAAATAAGAAGTTGAATCTCTCAACAGACCAATAACAAGTGCCAAAATTGAATTGGTTTTAAATGGCCAGCCAACCACAAATAAAAAAGAACCAGACAAATTTGCAGATGAATTATACCAGATGTACAAAGAAGAGCTGGTACCACTTCTAATATTATTTCAAAATATTGAGAAAAAGGGACTTATTTTTCAACTCATTATATAAAAACAGCATCATTGTGATACCAAAACTGTTAAGAGACACCAAAAAAAAAAAAAAAAAAGAAAACTTCAGGCCAATATCCCTGAGGAGCACTGATGTGAAAAACTTCAAAAAAATACTGGAGAACCGAATCCAGCAGCACATCAAAAAACGTATCCACCACTATCAAGTTGGCTTCATCCCTGGGATGCAAGGCTGGTTCAACATATGCAAATCAATAAATGTAATCCATCACATAAAGAGAACAAAAGACAAAAACACGTAATTATCTGGAGAGGAGTCAGCTTGGGGAGGCCGCGGCAGCGGAGCTAGGGTGCGAGGAGGCCCAAGGCCTGCCCGGGTCGGGTCGCGGGGTGGGTGGGCGAACTGAGGAAAGGAGGCATCTGCTTGCGCGGTGCAGCCCCGACAGCGCCATTGTTGGGGGACGGGGTGCTGCGCAGGGCCTCGGAGTAGGGGGCTAGCGAAGGCGCCAGAGGCAGCAGAGAGAAGCGAAGGCGCCCCATGGGAAACACACTGACCTATTGCGTGTCCCCCAGTACCAGCCTCAAGCTGGGCAAGTGCGCAGGGTCTGAGGTGTACTGCGCATCCGACGTCTACGAGGCGGCATCCGGGTAGGGGATGCGGTGGCAGTAGCTCTGGCTGCTGTGGAGCTTGCCAAGTTGGATTTAGGAGCGGCCCAGGGCCACCACCTGCAACACGTCAGCAACCGCGAGATGCCCGAAGATTTAGCCTTGGAGTCAAACCCTTCTGACCATCCAAGGGCAAGCACAATTTTCCTGAGCAAATCTCAAACCGATGTGCGAGAAAAGAGGAAAAGAAACCACTTAAATCATGTATCTCCAGGACAGCTTACTAAAAAGTATAGCTCATGCTCAACAATATTTCTAGATGACAGAACAGTCAACCAGCCTAATCTTAGAACCACAGTAAAATGTGTGACCTCAGAAATATATTACCACATAAAGAACAGAGATGCAAATAGATCCCTGGATATTTCTTTTTTTTTTGAGACGGAGTCTCGCTCTGTCGCCCAGGCTGGAGTACAGTGGCCGGATCTCAGCTCACTGCAAGCTCCGCCTCCTGGGTTCACGCCATTCTCCTGCCTCAGCCTCCCGAGTAGCTGGGACTACAGGCGCCCACCACCTCGCCCGGCTAATTTTTTGTATTTTTTAGTAGAGACGGGGTTTCACCGTGTTAGCCACGATCTCCTGACCTCGTGATCCGCCCATCTCGGCCTCCCAAAGTGCTGGGATTACAGGCTTGAGCCACCGCGCCCGGCCGATCCCTGGATATTTCTGATGAGAGATCACATCCACTTACACGAGAAAAAGTCCCACAGGAATACTTTAAGCATGATCCTGAGCACAAGTTTAATTACAGATTTGTTCGTACTCTTTTTAGTGCTGCGCAGCTAACAGCTGAATGTACAACAGTAACTTTGGTTTACTGAAAAAAGTTTTTAACTTATGCTGAAATCAACATTTGTCCCACTAACTGGAAAAGGATTGTTCTGGGAGCCATTCTTCTTGCCTCCAAGGTTTCCGATGATCAGGCTGTATGGACTGTGGACTACTGCCAGATCCTCAAGAACATTACAGTTGAGGACATGAATGAAATGGAAAGGCATTTTTCGGAGCTTCTTCAGTTTAATATTAATGCTCCTGCTAGGTTTGTGCAAAACACTACTTTGACCTTCTCTCCTACGCAGATGACAACAACCTGAATTTTCTATTTTCTCCTCTTAGCAAAGAAAGAGCACGGAACCTAGAGGCTATTTCTAGATTATGTGAAGACAAAGACTGGTGTGGAGCAGGTACACGAAGGTCTTTCAGCACTGATAACTTCATTGGTATTCAGCACTCTAAAACCATCCTCTCTTAAAGGGAGAAATGAGGGGTTATAATGTCATGCGACCTTCATCTATCATTTGTAGATGATATTTGTCCATCTACAAACATTGGACAAATATCACCTTTCCTGCTCAAAACCCAGCAAAATTAGTGTTTTCATCAAAAGGAAAGAGCTCAAATTCAAGAGACTCATGGACAACAAGGATCATACTCCATAGAAAAGAATGGGACCTTGTCAATGCAACAAAACACTCTTCTGTCATTTTTAATGTAAACAGAGTTACAAAAACCACTCCAAAATGAAGGCTCCCATCCCACACACAGATATTTGCTTATGGTGTGGGCCGATAGCTGTGAACTATGTTAGGTTTTTTAAAACAATAGTTTAAATTTTTAGACTTTAAAGACACTAACCATATAACTTTTATGTTTCTTCCAGTTTTTCTCCCCCTGCGCATTTTGCTGCCTATGCCTTTAGAATCAATGCAGTATTACCATTAAAACAAGGGACTCTAACTAAAGCCACTTAGGAGCTGACTGCAGCATCGTTAGGGATTCAAGGGTTCTTCCTCCCTACTGTTACCCTTGAAGCTGCTAGTCATTGGCAATCATTTTATACCAAAAAGCTGATGGATAACATTTGTCATTCATATTCTTTGCAAGCATTACTTTAGCATTTTAGCATGTTTGAGGTCATAGACAGAGGAAGTATTGGTTATTAATATCTAATTCTATTGGAGTCCATGTTGCATTTCTTGTGAACTATAAATGGTGCTTCTCATTTTCTGATAATTTTTATCTTGTTAAATAAATGTATTAAAATATATTTTCATAATGCCAACCAACATGGTGGTTCAGTGACAGTGAAGAAAAAGTATAGCACTTTTAAGCTTTAATATAGTTTGGGCCCTCCAAGGCACTGCAGCATGAGTATAAATGCTATAAACTTTTGAAAAACATCATTTGAGAGTTTTGTTTTTTTTCTTTAGGAGATAGGAGTCTTGCTATGTCGTCCAGGCTGGAGTGCAGTGGCTGTTCACAGGTGCAGTCATGGTGCACTGCAGCCTAGAACTTCCTGGCTTTGGGCCATCTTCTAGCCTTGGCCACACGAGTGGCTGAGACTACAGGCGCACCTGGCATTTGTCTCCTGAATGTTAGGCATTTGATTTTTTGTTTCAGTCACTCCTGAAGATGGCAGACATTGACTGAAGCAAAAAATTAAAAGCTTTATACTCAAAATTCTCAAAATGAAGCTGGGTGTGGTGGTGCATGCCTGAGGTTCCAGCTACTTGGGGGCTGGGGCTGGAGGATTGCTTGGGGTCAGGTATTGGAGGCTGCAGTGTACCGTGATGGTGTCTATAGAAATAGCTACTGCACTTCAACCTGGACAACATATCGGGACCCCAACTCTTAGAAAAATGCAAAATTAAATGCAAAAGAAATGCGCTGGGCATAGTGATTCATGCCTATTATCTCAGTACTTTGGGAGGCTGAGGTGGGAGGATTACTTGAGCGCAGCAGTTCAAGACCAGTCTACTCAACACAGTGAAACCCTGTCTGTAAAATAGTAATAAGAAGAAGAAATAAAAATAATTAGTTGGATATGGTGGCATGTGTCTGTAGTCCCAGCTACTCAGGAGACTGAGGTGGGAGGATCACTTGGGCCTCAGGGGTCAAGGCTGCAGTGGGCCATGATCATGCCACTGCACTCCAGCCTGGGTGACATCCAGATCCCCTTTCAAAAGAAGGAAAAGAAAAACATTCAGGCAAGGTTTTGTGAAAGTTTGTAGCATTTATACTTCTACAAGTATCAAAGCTTACAATTACATTAAACATTTGGAATATCTTATATCTCCATAAAATGCCCTTCTCTTTTTAAAAGGAGTTACTTGTAGAGCTGTGCTCTATATGCATTGATCACCGAAGTTTCTTTAATGTAAAGGAAGATTTTGAAGAGCAGTGTTAATTAACATGTAATAAAAATAATTGGACCCTAATGATAGAAGGTGATATGAACAGCTGTTTTATCATCCTACATGCTACCAAGCTGTAGGTGTCCCATTAAATCCTGCTATTTAAGAAATAACTCACCTAACCCTTAGGAACACTTATTTCAGGCTTTAAAAGGAAAGGAAAAAATAATTTTAGGAGACTGATAATGTCATCTAAATTTGAAAAACTAAAAGGAGATTAGTGTTCTCAACTATGTGAAATCTATTTCTCCTACTTTCTCAAATCTAATCCTAGGAACCTTGCTCATAAACAAACCATTTCTGGGCCAGGAATACTTCCTCCACTATAGCAATGCTTCACATCATATTGTGCTGCAATTTCCATCATTTTTAAAGGACATATAAATACATGTTAAATAATGATATAAAAATATTACAATCTACCACCTCAAAAAAAAAAAATTGTTTATGGAGTTCAGAGCTTGGAGATTCAAGTATTAATAGCCATTTTATTTTAAAAAGAATGTTACAATTTATGTGGTTTTTATTTCTCATTCTTATATTAAAAGCTAATAAACTTTTAATTTAAAAAAAACCAAACATAATTATCTCAATAGAAAAAAACTTTTGATAAAATTCAGCATCCCTTCATGTTAAAAACCAATGGAACAGAACAGAGACCTCAGAAATTAACACCACACATTTACAACCATCTGACCTTTGGCAAACCTGATAAAAGCAATGGGGAAAGATCTTCTATTAAGTAAATGGTGCTGGGGAAACTGGCTAGCCATATGCAGAAAACTGAAACTGGACCCCTTCCTTACAAAATTATACAAAAGTTAACTTACACAAAAATTAACTGAAGATGGGTTAAACACTTAAATGTTTAACCATAAAAACCCTAAATGAAAACCTAGGCAACACCATTCAGGACAAAGGCATGGGAAAGACTTCATGACAAAAACACCAAAAGCAATTGCAACGAAGGCCAAAATTTGACAAATGGGATCTAATTAAACTAAAGAGCTTCTGCACAGCAAAAGAAACTATCAGGCCGGGCGCGGTGGCTCAAGCCTGTAATCCCAGCACTTTGGGAGGCCGAGACGGGCGGATCACGAGGTCAGGAGATCGAGACCATTCCTGCGTAACATGGTGAACCCCGTCTCTACTGAAATTACAAAAAAAAATTGCCGGGCGTGGTTGGCGGGCCGCCTGTAGTCCGCTTACTCGGGGAGGCTGCAGGGCAGGAGAATGGGTGAACCCGGGAGGGGAGCTTGGCAGGTGAGCTGAGATCCGGCCACTGCACTCCAGCCTGGTGGACAGAGCAAGACTCCGTCTCAAAAAAAAAAAAAAAAAAAAGAAATATCGATCAGGAGTGAACGGCAAACGAGAGAACAGGAGAAAATTTTTGCAATCTACCCATCTGACAAAGTCTAATATCCAGAAAAGAACTTATACAAATTTAAAAGAAAAAATAACCCCATCACAAAGTGGGCAAAACATGAAAAGACACCTCTCAAAAGAAGACATTTATGTGGCCAACAAATATATGAAAAAACACTCAGCTGGGCATGGCAGCTAATGCCTGTAATCTCAGCACTTTGGGAAGCTGAGGCGGCTGCATCACCTGAGGTCAGGAGTTCGAGACCAGTTTGGCCAACATGGAGAAACCTGTATCTACTAAAAATACAAAATTAGTCAGGCGTGGTGGCACATGCCTGTAATCCCAGCTACTCGGGAGGCTGAGGCAGGAGATTCACTTGAACCCAGGAGGTGGAGGTTGCTGTGAGCCAAGATCACGCTATTGCACTCCAGCCTGGGCAATAAGAGTGAAACTCCATCTCAAAAAAAAAAAAAGAAAGAAAGAAAGAAAAAAATCTCAACATCACTGATCATCAGGGAAATGCAAATCAAAACCACAATGAGATACATCTCACACCAGTCAGAATGGTAAATAATAAAAAGTCGAGAAGCAGATGCTGGTGAGGCTGAGGAGAAATAGAACACTTTTACACTGTTGGTGGGAAGGCAAATTAACCATTGTGGAAAACAGTATGGTCATTCCTCAAGGATCTAGACCAGAAATACCATTTGATCCAGCAATCCCATTACTGGGTATATACCCAAAGGAATATAAAATATTCTACTATAAAGACACATGCACGCGCATGTTTACCGCAGCACTAGTTACAATAACAAAGACATGGAACCAACCCAAATGCCCATCAATGATAGAGTGGATAAAGAAAATGTGGTACATACATGCCATGGAATACTATGCAGCCATCAAAAGGAATGAGATCATGTCCTCTGCAAGAACATGAATGAAGCTAAAAGCCAGCATCCTTAGCAAACTAACACAGGAACAGAAAACCAAACATTGCATGCTCTCATTCATAAGTGGGAGCTGAAAAATAAGAACACATGGACACAGAGAGTGAAACTACACACACGAGGACCTGTTGAGGGGTGAACGGTGAGGAGACAGAATTTAGAGGATGGGCCAATAGGCGCACCAAACCACCATGGCACATATACCTATGTAACAAACCTGCATGTTCTGCATGTGTATCCCCCTGCTTTTTTAGAAGAAATTTTTAAAAAGAGTAAAAAAATGTTACTCATCACATAAACCAAAACAAAAGACAAAAACCACAGGATTATTTCAATAGATTCTAGAAAATTTTCAATATAATTTACTATCCTTCATGTTTAAAACCCTCAACAAGCTAGGCACTGAAGGCACGTACTTCAAAATAATGAGTCATCTTTGACAATCTTACAGCCAACATACTAAACGGACACAAGTGGGAAGCATTCCTCCTTGAAAACTGGCACAAGACAAGGATGCCTTCCCTCAAAACTCCTATTCGACATAGAATTGGTACAGTCTCAGCAGAAAACCTCTCTAAACTGATAAGCAACTTCAGTAATGTTTCAGGATACTAAATCAGTAGCATCCCTGTACATCAACATCCAAGCCAAAAGTCAAATAAAAAACATAATGCCATTCACAATTGCCACATACACACACATAAATATATAGGAATACAGCTAACTAGGAATGTGAAAGATCTCTATGACAAGATGACCAACCACTGCTTAAAGAAAGGAAAGATGACACAAACAAATGAAAAACCATTTTATGCTCATGGATAGAAAAGATTAATATCATTAAAATGTCAAAACTACCCAAAGAAATTTACTGACTTAATGGTATTCCTAACAAACTACCAAAAACATTATAAACAGAACTAAAAATTAACTATTTTAAAATTTATATGGAACTAAAATGAGCCTGAATAGCCAAGGCAATTTTAAGCAGAAAGAACAAAGCTGGAAGCATTACATTACCCCTCTTCAAACTACACTAAAGGGCTACAGTAATCAAAGCAGCATAATACTAATACAAAAAGAGATGCATACAAAAATGCAACAGAATAGAGAGCTCAGAAATAATGCCACACACCTCCAACTATCTGATCTTTGACAAAGCTGACAAGAGGAATGTGGGAAGAATTTCCTATTTAATAAATGGTGCTGGAATAAGCTGGGAGCAGTGGCTCACATCTGTAATCCCAGCATTTTGGGAGGCTGAGGCAGGTGAATCACTTGAGGTAAGAAGGTCGATACCAGCCTGGCCAAAGTGGTGAAACCCTGCCTCTACTAAAAATACAAAAATTAGCTGGGTGTGGTGTCACATGCCTGTAATTCTAGCACTTTGGGAGTCCAACGCAGGTGGATCACTTGAGGTCAGGAGTTCCAGGCCAGCCTGGCCAATACAGGAAAACTTCATCTCTACTGAAAATACAAGAATTAGCAGGGCGTGGTGGTGCATGTCTGTAGTTCCAGCTGCTCAAGAGGTTGAGGCATGAGAATTGCTTGAACCCATGAGGCAGAGGTTGCAGTGAGTCAAGATCATGCCACTGAACTCCAGCCTGGGTCACAGAGTGAGACTCTGTCTCAAAAGAAAAAAATAGTCACTAACAGATACTGGCAAGGTTGCAGACAAAAGGGAATGCTTATACACTGCTGGTGGGAGTGTAAATTAGTTCAACCATTGTGAAAAGCAGTGTGGCGATTCCTCACAGAACTAAAAACAGAATTACCATTGGACTCAGTAACCTCTTAATTTGGTGTATATTCAAAGAAATATAAATTATTCTACCATAAAGTCACATGCACATGCATGTTCATTTCAGCGCTGTTCACAATAACAAAGACATGGAATAAACCTAAATGCCTATCAATGGTAGCCTAGATTGGAAAAAATATGGTATGCTCAGACAACAAAGCTCATTCTTGTAATCCCAGCACTTTGGGAGGCTGAGGCAGGTGGATTACCTTAGCTCAAGAGTTCAAGACGAGCCTGGGCAGCATGGCAAAACCTCATCTCTACAAAATATGAAAAAAATTAGTCAGACGTGGTAGTGTGTGCCTGTAGTCCCAGTTACTTAATGGGCTGAGGTAGGAGGACCCCTTGAGCCTTGGAGGTTGAGGCTGAAGTGAGCCACGACTGTACTACTGCACTTCAGCCTGTGACAGTGAGACACTGTCTTCAAAAAAAATAAAGAATAAAAACAAAATATGGTACATAAACATCACGGAGGATTATGTGACCATAAAACAACACCAAGATTAAGATCTCTGCAGCAACAGGGATGGAGCTGGAGACCATTAGTCTTAGAAAACTAATGCAGAAACACAAAACCAAATCCATGTTATCATTTATAAGTAAGAGCTAAATAACAAGAACACGTGGACACAAAGGAGAAACAGTCACAGGGGCCTAGTTGAGAATGGAGGATGAAAAGACAAAGAGGATCAGAAAAAAATAACTCTTTGCTGCTATGCTTAGTACCTCAGTGACAAAATCACCTACACCAAACCCCCACGACACAATTTTACCCATGAACAACCCTGCACACATACACATGTAGAAAAAGAAAACCCATGGGTGGGGAAGAATGCAATGTAACTGGATTGTTTGTTCTGCAGATAGTGGCCCAGGTGGGGCTGTACTCTGATTTACTTCTGGGTCCATGCAGGCAAATGAGATTATGAACAGGTGGTCTCCACCTAGGTAGGTGGTGAAAACAGGTTGCTGCTGCAGATTCACTGTCTGGGGGTTGGGATATGCCAGGAGACTTGTAGACACTTTTGTGGGTTTTAGGCAAGAAATACTAGGATCAGGCCGGGCGCGGTGGCTCAAGCCTGTAATCCCAGCACTTTGGGAGGCCGAGGCGGGTGGATCACGAGGTCAGGAGATCGAGACCATCCTGGCTAACATGGTGAAACCCCGTCTCTACTAAAAATACAAAAAACTAGCCGGGCGTGGTGGCGGGCGCCTGTAGTCCCAGCTACTCGGAGGCTGAGGCGGGAGAATGGCGTGAACCCGGGAGGCGGAGCTTGCAGTGAGCCGAGATCGCGCCACTGCACTCCAGCCTGGGCGACACAGCGAGACTCCGTCTCAAAAAAAAAAAAAAAAAAAAAAACAAATACTAGGATCCACAATGCTGTGGTGAAATTCCCAAGGGTGATGACTAGTCCTGGGAGGGGTGTGGACATGTCAATGTCTAGTGGGTATGTCTGTGAGTGGGTCAGAATCCTGTGGTGACAGCTGTGGGAAAAAGGGGTCTGTCATCAGAGTTCCTTTCCTCTAAGTTTTCATCCTCTCTTACCCTAGGAGGAGACCTGGAATCACACGACAATGAAAGGCTCTGTCTTCCTTTACACAGAGAACAGAGCCTCCCATTGCAAGACACCAAGAGTTCCATTCCAGGAAAGGTCTCGGTGATATCTTTCTACTAGCACCAAATCTGTAGAGTTTGCTGAACACCAAGCAATTCTCTAGCACCAATTCAATGTCTAACATTTGAATTCTGACACCATGCAGAGTCAGCAAAGACCCTGATTCAGGGCTTAGTCTCATAACATTGCCCTCATTGCAGTTGCCAGTCACAAACCCCATAGGCCCATCTACACTTCTGAGCTACTGTTTAAAAACTGAGGACTCCTGCGACCTTCCTCAAGTTCAATAATTTGATGGAGCTACTCACAGAACTGAGCAAAACACTGGAGTTACGTTTACTGATTATAAAAGATACAACTCAGGAAAAATCAAACAGAAGAAATGTATGGAACAAAAAGAAGAGGTGGGGAAAGATGAAACATATCGATAACCCTGGTAAATAGCTGTGATTAATAAAATTTTTCATCCTTTGGGTTCTCCAGGAACAGCTTATGGAAAGAAACACTCTTCCATTATATATTACATGGTGCTCTCTTTTCTTTTTTATCACATAGCCAGACACAGACTCTGTCAATGATATATTGAACTAGAGCAACTCGATTTTGAATAGGGGCTGAGTAAAATATGGCTGCGACCCACTGGGCTGCATTCCCAGATGGTTAGGCATTCTAAGTCACAAGATGAGATAGGAGGTCAGCACAAGATACAGGTCGTAAACAGCTAGCTGATAAAACAGCTTGCAGTAAAGAAGTGGGATAAAAGTCACCAAAACCAAGATGTTGACGAGAGTGTCCTCTGGTCATCCTCACCGCTACACTCCCACCAGTGCCACGACAGTTTACAAACGCCATGGCAACATCAGGAAGTTACACCATAATGGTCTAAACAGGAGAGGCATAAATATTCCACCCCTTGCTTACCATAAAACTAAGAAATAACCATAAAAATGGGCAACCAGCCTATGGAGAAAGCCATTCTCTTATTTCTTCACTTTCTTAATAAATGTACAGGCCAGGTGCAGTGGCTCACGCCTGTAATCCCAGCACTTTGGGAGGCCGAGACAGGTGGATCACCTAAGGTCGGGAGTTTGAGACCAGCCTGACCAACATGGAGAAACCCGGTCTCTACTAAAAATACAAAATTAGCTGGGCGTGGTGGCCCATGCCTGTAATCCCAGCTACTAGGGAGGCTGAGGCAGGAGAATCGCTTGAACTCGGGAGGCAGAGGTTGCAGTGAGCCGAGATCGCGCCATTGCACTCCGGCCTGGGCAACAAGAGCGAAACTCCATCTCAAAAAATAAATAAATAAATAAATTTGCTTTCACTTTACTCTATAGACTCGCCCTGAATTCTTTCTTAAGATCCAGGAACCCTCTCTTGGGGTATGGGTCAGGACTTCTTTCCAGTAACATTTTTCTGGCAAACACAAAGGGACTATATTGAAGAGACCTCTGACCCAAAGGAAAACCATCTGTGCCCACTAACGGCTGACACTGAGTGAGTAGGGTGCATATACCTGGGTAAAGCATGGGATTGGGTTAGGGGCCCAACTTAGGGGAATTATAGTCTCTCCTAAAGCAGAGTGGGTTAAAGGCTCCTCTTAATAAAAGGCAAGGATGATTGACTGAACTTGGATTCGAGGCCCAGCTTAGGAAG